GGTCTACATAATATTTCTGATTAACAAATATTGTTAGAACTCTAAGTTTTACTCATAGCATAATAATAATAATTTTAGTGTCTGTTACTTGAGATACTTTTTTAACATGGATTAAGAGAAAATAAACTATTAACAGTAATAGTAATTTATTAGGAAACATTGGAAAAAAGCATGTATCCCATTCTTTGCTTTGAAAATATAAATAGCATATCACTTACTTCTTCACAGGTTAAGAAATGTACTGGTAATAATTTTCCTTCAGAATCAGTGAGCGGCAGAAATACCATTTCTTCATTTTCTTCTTGCTGTTCTCTACAATGAAACAATAAATTATTGGCAATAAATTGTAACATAAAAAAAATTAATACACTCATACTTCGACACCATTGATTCGTATACAATGAAATAACAATATTTTTTTTTTTTTCAAAATATAAATAATAAAAAATGGCAACTTACTATTAGATTGAGTTTTTTAAGCTCAAATATCATTCTTTAAATTACATAGCTTACTAAAATCATTCGCATACTATTGTTATGTAATTGATTTGCAACAATAAATAAATGAAGTGTAATTCCAAAAATGTTATAAATTCAACTGTATAATAAAATAAAATTCACTCTGTGTATAATAACATCTTTCTGCGAAATCGATTAATAAATGCTTCAACTTGTACCTTTAATATTATCTCAAGATGGATAATAGTCAGCCAACGGACGCTCTAGAAAATATTATGCAGATTAAAGCGATGGCACATTAAATAACGACCAAATATTAAGCAGCCGAAACCGACGAGCTTGCATGGAACGACTTATGGATATAGGTGATGCGAGAAACGTATGTGCCACTTTATAAATAAAAGAAAAATAAGATTGTCGAGGCAAACCTGCAAATGTAAGGCGTGCGGTGAGCGGTATCCGGCTCGCAGGGCACCAGCGCCGAGAAGTGGCCGCGAGTGTAGCCGACGCACAGCGGCGACTTCGAGCAAAACTCTGGCTCCCACAAAAGCGGCAGGTACACACCTGCCATGTCACACCACACTTCATTTTGTTAATGTTTTGAGGAGTAATCAAAATTTTAACACTTGCTTTCGCGGTTCAACTTTATCTTAAAGCTAAAATTAAAGCATAGTTTTTCTTTTTTGGGATTTTTGAATTATTTGTAATGTAAGAAATTAAAATATTTTATAATTTATGAGTAAAAATCAAAAAAATAGTGTGGTTTTCACATTTTTCAGCACATTGAGTAACAATCACATACATCTTTACACATTTTATTTATTAATCGGGGCTGATGGGCTGTGCAGTGTAGTAAATTTGAAATAAAAGTTTATATGCATATTCAGGTTTAAATTTCAAAATTAAGCATTTCAATTTAAACAAATCAAACATAAAATTATAATTAAATTAAATGTAAAAATATAATTAACATGTACAAAAAATTTTAACATATACACTTAACACGAGCATGTCGGTAACACGAACTCTAGTGAGGTAAACTCACAAGATTTTACATTGGAAAATCACCTAACGTGCTTAAAGTAGTTTTTACTTCAATTGCGACTTCTGCAACTCTCACATATAGAATAATCGTATTACAAAAAAACAAGATGGTAAACATCCACTATATAAAATGTTATTTTAGGGAATATACAATTTTTTTCAATGTAATCAAACTTTCTAATTACACCAAATCATGAAAGTACAAATGAAGTAGGCAATTTCTTTCTCGAATGACTACTTTCATATGCAAAAGTTTTCTTTTATGAATTTAAAACGTCTGTTTGGCTTATATAAGACATGAAACAGAAGAGTCCGTCACCTTGAAACCGTGCGTAACCGATGGCCTCGCCCCTGAACGAGTTAACGATGTTGACGCCGTACACGATGATGGGCCGCCGCATCACGTGCGCCAGCGCAAACACGTGTAACTAAAATGACAAAAATGCGACACATTTCATCTTAAAAACCAGTCAAATGCGAGTCGCACTTGCATAGTGAAAATAGGTCTAAAATAGTAAGAATAGGTTCCATAATGAAAATATAAGAAGAGATTTAAAAAAAATGGGATTTGATATGCTTTCAACATGAGAAATGAAAATAACCTGTATTTACATGTTAACTGACTACATAAGGTTACAAATTAATTTAGAAGATTCAGCACATGTTCAATACATTCCCTGAGAATAAAAAACTGACCCTTATACAAATTTAAGATGTTTCCAAGCAATCACTTTGTCAAAAAAAAAAAGAATATTAATCATTTCTGAATATTCAAAGGATAAATGTTTATGGACATAACCAGCTCGACTTCTTAAAGGACTATCCTAGAATAATTGGCTAACGAACAGATGATAAATTTTTAAAATATTGTAAATTTTTAAAACATTACGACGTATTTCAAGTGTTATTTTATTACAAATGAAATAAAGATATTATGAATTTATATTAAAATATCATTATTTTACTTGTCATGTAGATATTATGTATCCTGAAATTATTTTTAATTTTTATTATCTTTTAACAAATAACGTTTCGTCAGGTATTGAATAATTGGTATCCAAAGCTTTAAAAAATAAAATAAAAAGAACACAAATCTATTACAATTATTTAAACTCAATCCCATCATATAAGCATATGACATAGTAACTATTAAAACAATTTAATTAGACCTAAGTGAAATTAAGCAACACATTCTATATACAATTTCTCATAAATGATATTTGACCTTTCAACAGCATTAATGGAACACAACATATTTATCTTTATTTTCACCCCATTTCAAAATAAGTAATATGCAATGAAATCTAAACACATAAGAGTAGAAAGGCAACAGAAAGGCACTTTTTTTTTGAGATCCCCATGTCAATATCTATCCCAATTTCCATCCCGATCGCGATTATAGTCATAAACCAATAGTCACATCTATTGCGTAAAATACAACTTTATAGCATTGAATACTTTAGTGTTAGTCCAGTTTATTTGTTAATCAAAAGTAGTGACAATAAAAAAAACAAACATTTGTACAGATCACACTTAAGACAACTTGCATCAAATTTGTCAACATCAATCAATTTAGTCATGCCTGACCCAACACAAACTGGGTATTATACCCAGGTCTTAAAAATTCTAATAGAATGGGCACATCAAATAGCCAAATTTTAAATTCCCAAAACCGATTAACTTACTTATATGGAATTGTTAATGAATGTCCACAATACAAAGCAGTATGTAAGAATCGCATGAAATGGAGATCTGTACTACGCATCCACCCTTCTGAGCAATGTATGCGAGGTGTTATGATTTGAAAATAAGTTCTTTTCAATTAAGATAATAAATGAACTAATTTGCATCGATTTACCTAAATTCTCAGCGATGTGATACATTCAGCTGGTGATATTGGTTTTCAAACAAAAGCATAGTTCTATTAATATTTCCTAAGAGTACCAATCACCTGGTGGAGGGGCGTGCCGGGCATGGCGGCGGCGGCGACAAGGCGCGCCCACTCGCTGCGCAGCTGCGATTCCTCAGGCGTGTATTGTAGCAAAGTCGCTTGTAGACACTCCCACGCGTGCCACCGTTCATAGAAACTTCAATAATATAAACACTCTATTTTATTCAAACTATTATAAAGTAGGAAAGAAATGTATCTGTGTATAGATAGCATGTTTTCATTAAATAAAATTGCATGCTTTTCATTAAATAAAATTTACTAAATCACTCTGCTTTTAAAGTAACAACTAAATATATTTCTACATTAATTTTAATTTTTTTGAACAAACTTAGGTGTGGTGGCTCGTCTTCTATAATTGACTGTCTATACTTCTTATCTTTTAAACCTTTTTATTACAGAAGATATTTATTTATTAATACACTATATTCCTATCTAAGAATTCGGATTATTTTCGAATATATAAGCCAAGGCTCGCCAAAGAGGTCATATATTTATTTCATTACATTCTCATCGATTCAATAAACATAAGCATAATTCTAAGAATATAGGACAACTAGAAGCAACTTATAGATTCTTGCTCTCTGAGGGACGCAAGAGAAGGGATCGTAGTGGAATTTATCTACTTTTCCTGGTCCCCAAACATGAATATATTTTCGAGATTCCGATCAACAAAACGTCTCATTCAAGAAAAATATTTTGAAAGTGAATATAAATACGAAATATTAATTCATATAAATTGTTGATGTGGAAAAAAGTGGGGCATAAAATTACTTGTGTTAACCACTTTTCCTTGAATTTGACAGGCAATTAAGCCTGCACTTACATTTGCATATTATATTGTTATAATAAATACCTTCGACTCGCATGATGTAACGTATCGGCGAGCGCGCGACGTAGCGTGTTGTCGCGGTCAAAGACGCCATAGGCCGCCTGCGACACTGCGTCCAGTAGGCAGTCCCCGGCCGACCGATTCCACAGCGCGTACAATCGAGATCCTACAAAATCGAGTGAAGGTGGCAAATTAATTATCATTTTGCGTGCGCTGCATAGTAAACAAATGCGCGCGCGTATAGTGAATAATCCGCATGTAAGAACTTTTAGTTATGATTGCACGCGTGGTTTGTAATTAGTAATTTTTAATGTTTTTCTCATTTAAATCCAAAACTTTCTTATGCGTCGAAAAAGAGGGTACAATATGATTCCAATTTGTTGAAGTCAATTGATGAATATACAAAATAATCCTAATATTTTTTAGTTTTGAAGCTACATTTTGTAACATGTCATAGTGTCAAATAAATTAAAAAAAAATACAAGAGTAACTAGACAACAATTAGATTTTCTATTAAGAATTATTACATAGAATTGTAATTTCAAATTCTTTAACTGTAACAGAAACGAAGTTCCTCATCGCACGTTAAACTCGGGCGCTCGGCGGGATGGGAGCTAAACGAATAAAGTTTAACCGCGACGAAAAATGCTGATCACTGTTAATTTAGTTAACATTTTCATAAATTTCTTTGACAATGTTCATTTCACGCTACATATGTCGTCCGATCACCGAAGTTAAGCAGCGTCGGTCGCGGTCAGTACTTGGATGGGTGACTATAAGGGAACACCGCGTGATGTTGATGTTTTTGGTGTTGCATCCTTTTCATGATAATCTATAATAAAATATTAATTATTTTTTTTTTTTTTGTTATATTTTATTACCATTCCTTCATTCTTTTTGGTTATTTTACTTTTAATTACCTTCAAAAGTTGTTATTTATTTCAATGTGATTGTATATAATTTATAATTCCCTTTTTTACTTAAAATATTGAATGAAACTTTTGAAGTATTTCAGTTCTAGAGAGTATTTTTATTTAAAACTTTCAATAAATGAATACTTATACAAATATGTAAAAGTGACACCTATTGTTGATTTTATAATTACATAATTGTGCAAATTAAATAATTCTGCATGAACTTAACAGTCTTTAATAAATAGAACAGATGACACTGTTTAGAGCTTTTTCAGAATATTAATAATTAATAAAAAAATATGTTTTTTTTACAACTTGAAAATATTTCTTACTTTTTATTCAGTTATATTATTATAATTTATTTCATAACTTTCAAACATTTTAATTGATTTCATTATTATTATTATTATTATTCAATTCTTAAAATATATTTACATATAGCGAAAGAAATTTTATTGGAACCAAAGACACCACATAAAGGTGCCCATATATTTTACTTTGCCATATAGCAAACACTTATGCTGTTATATAAAAGAAAAATCTCTTTATATTTATTTTGTTATAATATAAAAAAAAAAACTTATTATCTCAGTATCTTCCAAATAATGCCATTTGTGTGCGTTCTTAAAATGAAACAATCGTATTATTTTGTGACAACAAATTCATATTAACAGTGATCAAAACAAGAGAAGAAATAGCTCTACTGCCTTTGGAGATAATTGGAACACAAGAGTCACAGAATATCAGGTAACATAATTCACATTATATAAAATTAAATTAAAAATTTCAATTAAAAAAATCTCTGACATGAACAATATTTATAAAAAGTAAAAAAAGCAATATGTATGGGATCTTTTAATTTAATATAAATAGTAGGTAATATTTTGGTCCGAGCGTCGTCATGGTGGGGGACTGCTAAATCTTAATTAATTAATTAATACTTTGAGTCAACAATCTGATACTAATAATTTAATATTTACTTATGTTGCTTAGATAGATTTCTTATCTTTAAAATTCATAATGTTTAGTTGTATTTTGTCATTTTACATATTAACATAGCGGTCTCCCGACACGACGCTGCGTGGATCAAAATATTCCCGCTACTTATATTAAAAGACAATACATAGTATTCTTTACTCTTTAGAAGTAAAATTTGTCAGTTTTTTTTTTAATTTTTAACTTAAGTTTTATTTAATGCTTTTCAAACTTTACATATTACTTGTAGACGCGCTATTATCGACAAATATCCATAAATTGCCAAAAGTACAAAAAGCTTATGTGTATGCAAACAGGGCAAAGTTTACGTGGCCTAAAATTGCAAATAAAAAACTTGCAAGGTTTTGCTATTTATGAACTCAACTAACGAAAACTGTTTAAAATCCGATAGACCAGCTTTAGCAGAATAGCAAAGACTGTGAAGGATGATTTCAATACTTTAATATTGTACTGAGTATTGTACTTTATTGTTTAAAAATAATTTAATATTTAACCTTTTGACAGCCAAGTCTGCACTCAGAATTACATTATATTCAATGTCCAGACATGGACCAGAATAGGAATGTACTTAGATCAAGACCGGGTTCAAAATCAAAATTAACTTGATTTTTTTAAACCATCTCTCACATTTGTAAGTCCGCCTTCCGAATTGTACACTATAATGCATTATTATATTCAACACCCAGACATTGATGAACCAGAAGAGAAATATAGTTAGATAAAGACTGGGTTCGAAATCAAAACGAAACCACGCTCGAAATTGATAGAAACAGATTAGTATTGAGAGCGAGATCGGGATCAGAATCGAGAGCGTGTTCGAACGATGCAAAAATTCAATCAAAATAAACAAATTCTACGGGCGGAGCCACGAGCTACCTATGATATATACACTGCGACCATTCCAATGAGCCAAAACACAATATTTCTAGTATAAATTGTTGGAGGAGTAGGGTATCCTGCAAGTCCCAGGTGATGCTCCTCCATTCAACTACAAAAGGGCTGATAATCTTCAAGTAACTGAACAGATTTTTTTTAATCATAGCTAAGAACATTCCCGATTAAGTCATTTTTGTAACAAAAAATACAAAATCATAAAAGGGTTGTCGTTTAGGAGCTATGATGCCACAGATAGACGCACAGGTACATCAAATTTATATAACACCCCTATGTTTGCTTCGGGAGTGAATAATACAAGGTGATGCAGCTAGAAACAAGTTACATGACGTTATTAAGTCATTTAAGTTTTTTTCATTTTCTTGGAAATTTGTAAAAAATACTTTAAGTTATATATAGATTGTGACAATAATATGATGTATAAAAGATAGAGAAGATGTTGACCTTATAAATATTTTATGCATTAACGTCTTTTTTCGTGATTATCAAAGTGACCTGCACATATTTAGAATCAAGATAGAAACGTTTACAGTTTTTTTTATTATTTTCGCCTTTAAAAATTTTAATTGGTCGAAGAGGTAACTTTAAAATTTTAAAATTTTGTAGTACCACCGATTCAACCAATTAAAATTTTCAGTGTACTCTAGTTCCGTCATCAAGCAACCAAATTTAATACAATTGTTGTTACCAAGTCTCATAGTAAGTTCGAGGCTCCAGTTGATGAGCGCCGGTTCAGCCTCGAGAGTCTGTTGCGCGTCGCGATCCAGCAATTCAGAAAATAACTGCTCCTGTATTGCTGCTGGTAACTCTTCGATTTCTGTGTGTACAAAATATGCTGACATGAATTCAACTTATCAAAAGCCAAATAAGTCGCATCTACTAGGGTGACGATTATCAATACTACCAACAGATGCGCCCCTAGCCACCTACTTGAGTACATGAAAAGGGGACAAAAACCCCTACAATAATTGTGACCAGCAGTCAAAGAATCATTAATAGACATGCTTGATAGACTCATTAATAAGAAAAGAAAATATTATTGTGAAGAATGTAATATCCAGTACAAAAGAAAAATCAAACGGAATATATAGCTAACTTAACATATTATGAACCAATTTCAGATAAAATTTTAAAAATATTAAAGAACCTAATATTTATACAGCCTTTAAAACAGATAACAATATTAAAATTTTTTGTAATAATAAAAATAAATTGCATAGAAATAAAAAGTTAAAAATTTACAGATTAACAACAAATTTAAATCTATACAGGACAAACTGGACATTATTTTGAAACAAGATACAATGAACATATTTCACTCTTTACAACAACAAAGCAAATAGTGCATTTAATTATTTTGGAATCTTTTGAAATTTCAAAAGATAAAGATAATAATATACTTAATTACTAAATTAATATTTACAAATCTGTATTGTTGGACACTTGCCTGTGACAATTTGAGAAATGGTTTGGTGATGGTTAGTCTATGACAATCAACAAACATGTTTATTAGTGATTGTCTGTGAGCGTTGGTAGAGGGACTTCTGTCACCTTTTGACCTATTGGCCATTGCATGGACAGTTGTCAAAAGAGGTGGTTTGAGGACACATCTGTTGGTAGTTTCAATACTTCTGACACCTTAGTAAATGTGACTGTTTGGTTTTTCGATTTCGCACAAAATTTGCATAGAATTTATATTTTAACTGTTTAGCGGACTAAGATAAAGAAAATGTTAACATATGCTTAGGTGTTTGATATCTGTCAATTCTCTCAAACCAAATATTCATTTCATTGGGTGCAATTTGTAGTGGAAGAACAGATTAGAGGAATACCAGTGAGTTGCATGCATGCATCTAAACACATGTCGCAGGCAAGCGTCTAATTACGAATCTCCATGAATTAACACCTCACACAATAGAATATTCTAAACTATTTTTCAGTTTTATAATGTCTACCATAATAGAATGCAACAATCTTACAAATTCCTTAACATACTGTAATGAATATCAATATGTAAATTTATATAACTGAAATTTACAAAAAAGAATGGGAGGGATTTGCACGGGGGGTGACTTAGAAAAATGTATTTTGTTAAATTTCATGAATTTACTTAGAAAAAAATTCATGAAATTTAGGAAAAATGGAGAATAATTTAGTCAAAATGTTTGTTTAGCCATACAAGTAAGTTCATCTTTACCATTTAAAATGAACATTTGATTTTTTTGGTAGAGAAATAAGAGATTTTGGGAAGTATGTACTCTTTGTTATCAGTAATGTTTTAACTTTCTATTATTAAGTTACTGTTTTCATTTTCACTTTCGAAAATCCATGTCTCTTCATATAGTCTACATTTTGTTGACCTATGTATATATATAAGTGAAATACCACTGACTAACACATTCATCATGAGATCTCCAAACTATAGGTCAGATTGATTTGAAATTTGGCATAACTACTCTTTTCAGGATATAGACATTCACCTGGACTTTATGCAAATTATACACAAACAAAATATCATCATTTTATGTCTACGCAGGTGGAGCCACGTGCAAAAGCTAGTAAATTATATGAGCACAAAATTAACATAACATTAATTAGCTCCTTTTATAGAATTAGAATATTAACACTGATAGCAAAGAATAAAAAGTTATTGTGCGTTTTATGATGTATTAAATTCAAATATTTACTTTGAACATTTTGTATTTAATACATACTACACAATCTTAATTAAAAAATACACCTGCAGGTAATGAGAATGTACAGAATTCGGTGATGTACCGACACGCGAAACTGCCCTTCTTGGTGCGAATCAAACTTGCTATGTGTCTCCTTATCGCCTTAGCCAAGTCTGGCGCTGTGAACATGCAGTACCATATATAATCATTAATATAAAAAAAAAGATCAATCATCTCAAAAATATATTGTAATATATTTACCAATATATGAGGGTGCTCTTTTGACACCTGAACCACCTCCTGATATCCTTGAGAGCA